AATAAAGAGAGAGAAAATGAGGAAAAGTGTGCCATCCTCATCCTAATGAAATTACTTCATAGTAGGGAAAATGTAACTTGTATAAAATATTGTGACTAATTTTCCTCAAACTCCCATATTATTATTTTTATTATTCTTTAGCTCATTACTCACGAAATTCTCTAATAATCACGTTAATTATCTCATATATATTGTAAAGACCTTGTATATAAGGTATGGCTATTTTGATGCTTGTATTAATAATATTTTCTTTAAATATAAAAAAAAAAGTTAATGTCAATCTTTAGAATTAATTAAATAATTGTAAACTTTTATTAGAATAAATGTGTTTATTAGAACTATATGTGTGTGTGGATGTATATTATCAATAATGTATGTCTTATAGAAATTTAATCCAATTAGTAATTATTTTTTTTAGTATACCTTTTTCTTAACTAATATTAAACATATGCTGGCTAATTTTTCCCTAATTGAAATGAACAAATATTATCGTTTTATATTTATGCCTTGAAGTTACTATCGAACAGTGAAATAAACCAAATTGAAAAAGATTGAAGAGAAAAAAGGCGAGATTTGAGGGGAAAAAGGATCTTTTTTATTATGAATTAGAATACCCAACTCTTATCCACGATACACCTTCTAAACAAGTGAGTTCTTCACATGCAATTACCTTTTCACAGTAACCTTGTTAAGCATTTTCATATCAAAACCTCTCCTACAACTCCATGCTGTCCTTAAGGGTGACTTTTTCTATGAAAAGATGGATGCTTTACCTCCCTTTACCAATCCACTCCCTCAACCCAAGTGGGGGATATTTATATTGGTCTGGGAATTGCTTGAATTTTATAGAAATAATTGCTTATTTTGTACTACTTATCTTAGCAAGTTGACAAAAATAAATAATTATTTCTTTAAAATAAGATGAACCAAACATAGTTGGATTTTTCAATAAATAGTTCTAATCAGTGTTATTAAACTTAGCTCAAACTATTCGGTTAAACCAAACCAGGCATGCAATCAGATTAGCTTAACTTGTAACTTAGAAACAAATCAATAACAACTTCTTCTTTTTTTTTCTCTTGAATCATTGGATTTAAAACATTTTAAGTTTTTGGTGTGGACAATTTTAACTTCAAAGAACTCCATTCACACTAATTGGAGGTTTGTCCGATGAGAAACTATTCACTCGAATACGAGAAACACTCTCCAACACAAGGGATTTAAGGAGAGACGTATCCAACCACACTAGATTTAATATGTAATGGTTTAACTAATAACTCACCGATTAAACGTGTAACCTGTTAACCCAATACTTAAATCGAGTTAATAACATGTCTAAGTTTTATAACACTAATTCTAATGTATCACTACTTGCCAGTTCGTTGGCCTTTTTTTCATCTATTTGACGTAGCTGCTACTCTACTAGAGCTTTCTTGCTTCAATTTCTTTTCTTGATTGTACAACGTTGTTCTTACCCAATTTTTTATTCCAATTGTTGATTTCCCTCGCTGCACTACCTTTGTTTCTTGGTATTGTTTCATGATTTTTTGCCAGCTTTGCCTCAAACAATGTTTCTGGAGCAAGCAATTTGACTCCCACTACCAATTGAAGTTTTAGTCCATATGGCATAAAGTCAATTTATGATTTTTATTAATGTTTATTTTTTAAAAAATTAATCCATCAAATGCTTAAATTCTTTAAGCTTTCGACTTGTTTAAGCTACTTTAATTCCTCCATGGAAGAAATATGGATCCAATTGAATCCTGATTGCTTTTGTTAACATTTTCTTATTAAATTGATTTTGTCCATTCTCAGGTTCTTGATTCACAGTGGATGAATCAGAGTCAACCCCTGTACCATTTCTTGTAGCCCTAGCATTTGCTACTCTATCATATCAATGCATTCATGTCCTTCCCCACTAATTACTGGTTCATCGCTCCCATCATCCACCTTTTTGTTTCCTTGATTGTTGCTGCCTCCGCCAATATGGCTGGGATTAATGTTAAGGACTCAATTTAAGAAACTAAAGAACAAGAGAAGGAGATAGAAGAAATCAAATAGAATGGAAAGGGATAGAAGGAAACAATAAGGATGTTTATAAGTCAGTTCAATCCAATGCAATTTACGAAAAATCAAATAAAAATAATAATTAACTGTAAATTGAAAAAAAAAATGAAAAGATACAAAAGCCCTTTATTTTTCATTGGATCAGATTTTAGATTCAATTTTAAAAATCAATTTAATCTTCCAAATTAGATCCAATTTATTTTAACTAAACTTGATTGTGTATTTAATTTTATTTATCTAACTAATCAACCTCTCACTCATACTTACATATCTATGTATTCGTAAAATTATAATACTTGATTGTTTTCTTGATTTTACTTTCAAAGTTAATATTTATAACTGTTTTGTAGGAATACATCTTATTATTTTAATGTGTTTATTCTTTTTTAGTTTTACATTAATTTCAATTCTTGTGCCTCACATTTTTCTATTATATAAGTGTTGTTTTATATAAAAATTTAATTAAAAAATGGTGTAGAAGAAATGGTAAAATATTTATTTACTGCTTTCCAAATAAATTGAAAATAACATATGAAAACCAATTTATCCAATCTAAATTGTTTTTAATTGGATAAAATTAGATTAAATTTAACATTTTATTAAAATTAATCCAACTGAACAAAGAACATATTTTTATGATCAATAGGATTATATTTTACCTAAAAGGTAGTTCAAAACCAAACCATAAAACAGTCCTAAAAAATAAGGACAAAACAAAAGAATTAAAAAATAATAATTTACAGGAACAGAGAGGAGATATAAGAAGAAAAAGAATGAGTATCTATGTTCCAATACAAATGATATGTACTATAGAATCAATTAATTGGAAATTAAGAGAATTATAGAAAAAGAATCTGTCTTAAAGATGAGATGAATTTTCTTTTTAGATAAGAATGATAACTTATTATAGGAGGCCCTTTGCTATGCGTATAGGCGCACATCAAAACCACTCTAGAATCGCCCAGTATTCATAGGTTTGAGTTCTATTTTGGTGTAGTCTTTAACATATGCATAAGCCTATTTTTACAATATATATCGATCATTATGACGTAGGTTTCTTTTATCAGTATTTCCTTTCATGGCACTTATATCCTTTTATAAGTATAATTGGGTCCTAAAGCGAGGACATATCATAGTATTATTTTTAAATACACCTAAATTTTAGAATTGAACTCAAGACTCTATACATAGGGGATGTGACCTCTTTCAATACATGTTAGTAATGATGTGGTTATTAATAATAGCATTATTAACAAAAGAAAAATGTTAAGGTGCTTTCAAATTTAAGTATAATATTGAAAATTTTGATTGAAAAATCAAATAGATTTCTTTGTTGTCAAGACAAATAAATAGATAGGGACTGAAGGAGCAAAGGAGGGTCAATAGAAGTCATGAAGAAAGGGATAGGAAAAAAGTTATTTTATTTATGCAATAGCTATATACATACTGGAATTTGAAAGTGGAAGAAGTAGATCTAGAATTGACTTAAAGTTTGCAGGTTCAAGTAGGACCGTTTAATAAAGAATAGTTGCTTAAAAGAAACTCATGGTCAATGAATTTTCACCTGGGCATGAATTCTACCATGTCTAACACAATTTGTAGCAATTCTTTATCCACTTTCTCAGCTTACCTTGAAAGCTGCCAAATGTTGATAAATTGGGGAATCTACGTTATAAGACTCTTTTGGTAAACTTTTAGTAGAAAAAAATTAATATAAAAAAATAAAATTTCTCTCATAAATTAAAAATAAGAGAAATTTTATTTGTTTTATACTAGTTTTTTATTCTAGATTATAACAAAACTAGAAAAGAAGAAAGGGAATATGCCTCTGTATCCAAATGCAATATATATATATATATATAATGAGTGATTTTTTTAAAAGAAAATAGCTTATGGATTAATTTTTCCAGCCGACTTGTCCTATGACAACAAAAAAATTTGGATACAGTACAATTTAAAAGAAAAAAAAATTGGATGTATTTAAATAACAACTTAGCTAAATATTTATTCAATAGTTTATTATTGTATAAAGAATTAATACCATGAATTAGATGACAAAATTTATTGATGTAAATTAAAAAGACTTATTTTAATAAGTTATACGAAAAAAATTATAAAGGTCCATAAACTATATTGATAAGGGTTTCCAAACGCAGCCTTGATTGCATGTTGTTTATACTATTCTTTTCCTTCCTTTTGTCATTAACTTTACAATATCTAACATCTACTTCTCTCTCTCTCTCCGTAATTAATGAGTAATGCTACAGTGTACACTGTCACACTCCAAATTGCAAAATAGAATCAAATTAACTCCTGTGTAGGCCATTAGAAAAGTCCAATGGCACTTGCCAAAATATTGTGGTTGGGACCAAATCACGTGTAACATTACTTGTGATTCATATCATTCATCTATTTCAACTTTACATGTAAAGAAAAGGAAAAAGAAAAAAAAAAGGTGGTTCAAAAAAAAAGATTGAACCTAATTAGGATGAACATCAAGGAAAAGCTTTCACTCGAAAAATGAAATCATGTAAAAGCTTTGATATTGCTATTTTTTCTTGTTTTACACACACACATTGATCTTCTTTATATAGTTGATGTTAGAACAAAACTAAGTTAGTGGGATTTCAGTTTATGTGGAGAGTGGTTTTGTAAATCCCAAAATTAGAATTGAATCACAAATAAGTAAATCCCAAAAAGATTCATTGTAAAATGTAGGGATCGGAACTGTAGCCTTTGGTGAAAATTCCAATGGAAGATTGTCTCAACATCAATGCAGATGCACAAACTAAATAGAGATTTCAGAATGTCTGCTGAGTTTGTTTGTATGATCATTTAATTAATCCATCATGTCTGTTTCCCTGAAATCAATGCTCATATACCCATGTTTCTTGGAGAAATTATTTCATTTATTCAGATATTAATAGATTATACTAAGAAAGAGTTTCTTTTCTAACTTTAATCCTAAAGAACTAGACTTAATTAAAGTTGGAACAATTTCTGCAAGTTCCTGTATCAATTTCCACATCTTAGTTTGTTAATCCTGGGCCAAGTCCTTACCAAATATATTGTAAAATCACACAATTAATATAGATGGACAGATCGTAAAGAGACTCAAAAAGCCTCACATACCATAAATTAGTGACTAGAATATTTTTAGGTCAAGTGTAAAAACAATTGATGGAAAGTACCAAAAAATTAGGGAAAAGTCAGGCTAAAAGATTACTAAATATGTCTTATCAATTAAACCATCTGACTTTCTCAGTCATTGTCTTTGCAACAATATTGATAGAAGTTCTCAAAGTCAGTACATCAGTAATCTTTGCCATTTCCTTGCTTGAAGATTGCAACCTACTATTTAATTTAGAAATTGGATAAGAAAATCAAAATACAAAAACTTTGAATTGTTCTTCTAAGTTCTGCAGGGAAAAAAACCATATACAAGCCTTTTGTGCATGCATGGACTCATAAATGCTACCCACACCATTAATGCTATTTTTTCTAGTTGAGAATTTTTTCATATCTATATAGTTGGCAATATTATATGAAATCAGACACTCAATTTACTCTTAGGTAGAATGAGATGGTAAACTCATGATTTGCACCCAAGTGATCTTACATATTATATAAGCTTCAAAGATGTAGAAAACTATATTTCCATTAGAGTAAAATTAATATCACTATTTTCTCTTCTTACTGTGGCTATACGGTGAATTCTCATTGTGACTGTCTAAAATTACATACAGTTGCCCAACTTCCGTCACAATAGCTTAAGCATATTACAGAACTGAGATGGTCGATAACTGTTGCCCAGTTACTTTGTCAAAGACATGATGAGACAACATGAAATTATTCATTTAAAACAACAGAAAGCTGAAGTTCCACATTTGTAAATATGTGTTTGGAAATAGCTATTTAAGGAAATAATTACTCCTTTTCAAAGCTCTCTTAAAAAGTTGACAAAAGTAAGTAATTATTTTTCTAAAATAAGGCAAACTAAACACACATAATTAATTAAAATACATGCTACATCAACAAATATAAACATCATTAATGATTGACATGCATGTTAATAGTGCTAATTATGAGTAGAAATACCTATGTCTGCTTTCAAATTTTTTTGTGTAAGAGCTGAGTTTTAACTAATACTTCAATATGCCTATGCTTTAAGCAAAATAACACATCGCACCAAATCAACATTCCATAATGAGTAAGACAATCAAATTTGTTACATATAGAGACAACAATAACAAGTATCAGATTAATGTAACTTGAAACTTTTACTGAAAAAACTGAAGGCAATGGTTGGGGGGAAAAAAGCCATTCTTCCATATCTAAAATTATTCTACGATTTTGATAATCTTGTATGATTTCCTGGGGGTATATTGTGAAATTTTATTGTGGTTAACTTCTATTCTTCCATATTTTTCACCCATGTGTAATCTCTTTATATATATATACAAGAAACTAGCAGTATAGTTATATGATGATTAATACTGTAAATCAGCAATGCATGCTTAGGAATATCAATAACTTGAGTGCAAACAAAAGCTCAAAGACCTTGTAATTTCTTTTGTATCACCTCCACTTGCAACAAGTTATACACTGCTTGAAATGTTTTTCATAACCAAGGAATATATAAATATTAGTCACTGTTGAACAATACTAACCAAATATATATAAATATTTAAAGCTGCTAGAAGGAACAGCATCTTGATAAGTAATTGGCATTATGCAATGCCAACCACACTTTAAATATTTGGTCAGAAACAATACACGCAGCAGCAACCTTTGTGCCAACTGTCACGCCATTGGCTGATGATGAGCAAAAGAAGATGAGGTACAAACATTGTGGAAAGAGAATATAGGACAGAAAAGTTACTGGTAGAAAACACTGAAAGATGCCCCTTCATGATTCCTTGGCATACTTACCCCTAGAGAGGGTTTCATTCGGATCAGATGATACTGAAAAACATTAAAAAAAAAAAAAAATAGCACACACTCACTCACACACACACACACACACACACAAACTAATGTAAACGTGGATTGGTGCACTCCTCCCAAGACTTTCCAAAGATTTGAAGCCCTGAAAATGAAGACTTATAGAATTGTAAATATCATCAAAATAGTAGGTTTCAAGAAGGGCAGTTTAGCACAAGCAGGTATGTTCATGAAACACACACACACACATACCTGTGGATAGATTCATGCTAGCTATGGCACAAAAGTTGGAGCGGCCAGTGGAACCATTAGCATCCCAATTTGGAGACAAATTGGGGAAGGGGTGGTAGTCACCGTTGTTGAAACTTGCAGCTTCCTTAGGGATCACAAGGTTTTGGTGATGATGATGAGAAGAAGACATCAACGATGGCTTCAACTTTCTCTTGATCACAATGGATTCCTCAATAACATTGAAGTCATCTCGAGGTGCTTCACTTCCCACAAGGTGGTGAGGGTGGTCACTTGGTGACCTCGATTGATGCATGATTTGAGGGTGGTTTTCAATTGCAGGGCACTTTTTCTTCAAGTTGGTGTTGGTGTTAACATTGCACATGATCTTGTTACTGGTCCTTTCCCTTGCTCTAGCTCTTGCTTTTTCCCTTGACTCCTTAATCTTTGCAGGTTCCTTCTGTGACCTTTTCAACTTCATCCTCTCTCTTGCAGCCATCAACGTTGTTGACTTGTTGTCATTTGAATCTAACCCTTGTTGTAGGTTGTTTGGAGTAGCAGCATCACAAGTGATGAGTTGTTGTTGTTGCTGCTGCTGGATCCCAGAAATCACTTCACAGTCATCATCACACTCAGATGAAGAAGAAAAGCTCTTGGCTCCTTCTTCACTATTGTTGTTGTTGTTGCTGTGCTTGCTCCTTGCTAGCTCCTTAATTGCTTTCTTTGACTTGTTGAAGAGCCACTCAAGGGTGTTGCTGGCTTTATCAAACCCTAACATGTCTTGAAGATCAAAGAACTTGCGAGCAATATCAATGGACAACCTCACCCTTCTGTCCCTCAAACCCTGAGAGGTGTAAATCTTGCTGTGTCTGTCTTTCTTAGCTGGCCTCTTTGTTAGGAAACAAGAAATGCCATAGTGAGGAACACCACTACCACCACCACTTGGGTCTTGTTTGGTCATTGTAGAACCACCACCACCACCGCAGTTATGATCTGAGAGTGGAAAATTGGTCAGTGTTTCTTGGATGTTTGGAGGGTTATGAGTTGGTATGTAAGGAACAGACAGTGGATCATGAAGAAGAGTGTTGCTAGCTGAAGCATGTTCAGGGTTGAGGAAAGGAAAAGGAGGGTATGAAGAAGAAGAAGATGAAGGGAAGGAAGGGTAAGGGGTGGAACTGTAAGGGAACATTTGAAGATTTTTTGTTTCTTTGTTTTCTTTCAATTAATGAATTTGGGAGACACAAAAACCCTAGCTTTTGAAGATGTGTTTATCTATCTTCCTCTGAACAATGAACTGATTTGGATTCTCAGCTCCCAACTTAACGGTCCATAGCGATGCCCCAACACACCCTTTTATATAAACAAAAGGGTTTTCAGGGAAGAGAAACACGCACTTTTGATTTTGAGAAATGGGTAAGAAGAAGGGATTTCAATTAGGCCAATGATGGAACTTGGATTTGCTTTGCATAGTTTCTATGGTTATGGGAATGGAGTATCTGTTGGACCATATTCATTGGCAGTGAGTGAGAGAGAGAGAGAGAGAGGGCACAGTAAGAGTGTAAGTAAACAGAGGACAAGACACACATAATTTGTGGGTTTTTTGCCTCATTATATGGAAGCAACGTAAGCAGAGGAGGGTCAAATCATTCAACTTTTGAACCCGTTAATGTGTGTGTATGTGTGCTTTTTTGTATTGCCTGGTGGCGTTAGGGTTAGGGTTCCACTTAGCCCCCACAGAATTTGAAGGAATGAGGGGTTAAAAATAGGTTTACGTAATCCTTGATGGGTTAATTTTAAATTATACATGCTCAATTTTTGAGAAAGAAAAATGGGGTGGTGGAAAGTTATCATTTTTCTATTTTCTGTAGAAATTAACTGGGAAAGATGGTTTTTTCTATTATGAGGCTTCAACTTTTTAACCCAAAGACCGTGAAGTACAAGGTGGGTGAAAGTGAAATTGTGGAAACACCGTAGACTGTTTCTTCTGTACAATGAGTTTTGATACTCTAGAACGATGAAAGCAAGATTAACAGAAATTATAATAACCCAGAAAATTAAAAGAATTGATGCATTCACAGATATCCTATAATACCCACTTGTATTAAATAATTAAAATTTTATCAGCCTTTATCATTTTCAATACCCATTTAAAAAAAATAAACTTTAATTTATATATCCTTAACTAAGAATTCAATCAAGTAGCTTAATGTAACCAACTTTTATTGGTCACTTTAAGCATACCTAAATCCAAATCCAAGTACAAATAATAATATGTTCTTGACTTTTCAAACAGTGAACAATCTTAATTCATACAGTGGCGACAGATTTATTAATTAATAAAGAGTTATATACTAAATTTCAGAGTTTATTAAACGTACCGACTGAGCAAAAAAGACAAAATGGTAATTACAAAAATTAGGGTTCTTTTGAATGAGCCGTACCACCTACTGTCATTTTCAACCCGGAAAACTCATCCAAACTCTGACACCAATTGCTCTGTTGCACTTTTGTAGAGTGGGGGTCGTCCCTGCTCTCTTATCAATTTGTATATTCAGTAACCTGTAGTTGGTGTTTACACACAGCATGGATCATGGATTGCTTCTTACTTCTTGGTCATTTTTCATAACCTAAGCCATTTAGATTTTGTACCACAACCTGGGAAAAGAAACTAAATTATATATATGCATAGTACCATTGGCGTATCTGCACTTGGATCTGAATTCCAGTACTTTGTTTAGGTGATAAACCTGTTAATTATGATGAGAGTATAAGAGGGTATCACTTAATCTTTTGTTGCCATTGCCTCTCTCTCTCTCTCTCTCTCTCTCTCTCTCTCTCTCTCTCGTTTCTTTCAATTCACTGAGGACTCAACTGAAAGGCCCATCACACCTAACTAGCTAAATAAAGTGAATGAATGTGTTGAGATTTCAGCTTATGGCTTTCCAAAGCCATCCAAAAAGGGAATATAACTGTCTCTTGACCTCTTTCTTTTACCTGCCCCTTTGTAGTAATCCAGTAATCACAATTCACAACACATAATGAAACATCAGTTAGTATATTACATATATTATTATATTAATAATTATATATACACTTTATATCCTTCTTTCCTCAGGCTCTCTATGTATACGTATACATATATAGTATATCAATTAACAACAATTATATTTGTATCACTAACATAATTTGATAATTAATTCAGATACACAATAATTCCTTGTGCTTAGTATAAGCTCATTTTAGAGTATAAAAATATAGAATCTATTAAATTATCCATGTTAACTACTTCAAGGGGTTGGTTGGTGAGTGAAATAAAATAGGCCTCACATCTAACAAGTCAAAGTTTTAATTTTGAGTCCCCCTTGTTTCTTTAAGCTAACATAGTTCTCACTATTAATTTTATATTTGTCACAAATTTTGTTCCTAGCTTAAATTTAGGTCCTATGTCCAAGATATAGGATCTTCTACATTCACTCTAACCTCCTAGTGTAACTAGTTACTTAAAAGTTCAAATATAAGGTCACATTAAAAGTTTATATGTGTTTTCTAGGTGAAATTTTGACTCTGATTAAATAACAATATTGAAAACAACTATTAATTCACTTCTTTTATTTTGCCTCTAAAAGCATATGCTTTTAGAAATTTTATTTTTTGAAAGTCAACGTGCTAAGTTTAGTCTACCAAGTTGTAACTTTTAAGGAAAAAGAAATTTGAATAACAAAATTGGACAACCAAATGTTATCCCTTCTGATTTTAAATTTGAGATGTATTCTTTTATAGAAGTGGATTAAAAATTGTAAAAGAGATATAAAAATGTTTTTATATAATATGAATTAACAATTCTATTTTTAAATAATAGAACAAATTAAGCTTTAAAAAATTAAAGTAAGACAAGTTAGCACTTCAAGGACCAAATTGTACACTAGCTACCTGAGGAGTCTTTATGTTCGGTGGTTACCTGAAGCTTTATAAATGGTCATTTCAATGCGCTTGCTTAGAGTGTTTTATTGTTCAAATTGTCGTTTATTTTGTAAGGTACCTTAATTGTACTTTTTGGTTCTTTTGTACCTTTTGGTACTTAGCTCTTTAATAAATTTCCAATTGCTTCCAAGAAATTAATATCAGATATTCTATATTCATCAATGAATTTAAATCTATTTACTATCTTGTAAATGGTATTTTGTAAGCAAATAAATAATAATAATAATAAGAAGAAGAAGAAGAGTACAAGAGATACTCCACCTTAGAACGACAGCAACGGAAAAGATTAGGAGTTGTTCATCCTTTTGCTTGGGAATTGTTCAAAGTGAACCATACAAATCTATTTACTATCTGTTCATGTGGATTATCAAACAATACAAATTTCTCTCTCTCTCTCTCTCTGTTTTATTTTTTTATTTTTTTTATCACGCCATATAACTTTCCCTGAATTATCATTTTTTAAAATCAATCTTGATTTTTATTTTTTATTATTTATTTATAATAGCAAAAAATTTATAAATTTACTTTAATCCTATTTTGATATAATAAAAAAATTATTATTAATGAAAATCTTTATTATTTAAAATTTAATAAATTTACAATAATTATATAATATATTTTTAATTACTTTATTTATAAATAATAGTCATATAGATCATAAAAATTCACTAATTATATAAAATATTTGATTTGAACTAAAAATTAGTGCATAAAAGAAGTGCCGACAAATGTCATATCACTAAAGAACGGATGGCATCTTTGATCGGAGGAAAGATAAATAATATAAAATAAAAAATATTTATTTTTTAAAATATCAACACTAAGTATTACACTTTAATATCTATATATTTTAATAATTTTTAATAAAAAATAAAATTAACTAATTATACAATTAATTAAAAAAATTTATCAAAAATATTAATTTTAAACATTTTATATAAAAATAAAATTAATAAATGCTTCATCGTATTATTTTATTTTAACAAATAATATGCTTTTAAAATATAATTAAATATTAATTTTTAGATAACATATTTACAAATATTTGAATTACGTAAAATTTAATATGAACATCATAAAAATAATATAAAATATTTCAACTATTGAATTAATAATCTCGTAATTTATAAAATATTATTAAAATTATATGGACATTAAGAAAATTGTGGAATGGTTTTTATATAAGTGATTTACATTAAGGTTACTTCGTGATTAACAAACTTGTATAGGTGCAATATCTTCTATGCAAAGGCGTCAACGGTGGTGGAATGTATTTAATTAATGAATAAATTTAGCTTCTAAATAAATATCTTTATGAACCAGAAAATATGCATTTAAAGTTTTATTGTATACCTTGAAGTAATAAATATATATTGTTTTAAATTAAGATTAAAATATTATTTATAATTTTTATTAATAAAATTTTATTTTGTAAAAAACATAAATTTATAAATTTGTATAATAGTATTTGAAAAATCGTAAAAAGAATTTATGTAATTAATTTGTTAGAATTTTTTATTTAAATTATAAGTATTTTACATAAAGAGCAATTTTATTTAAAACGAGAAGGTTCATAGCATAGTATAATTAGTTCTTTTAAAAAATATTATATTCACCGTGTTTAAATATAAAATCTTATTTAAAAAGTAAGTATATACTATTTGAATCAATGTTTGATAATTATTACCTATAGAACTTAAATAGAACTTAGATAGAATTATTATAAACAACAAAATACTTAATTTACGTGCTTAACGGCGGTGATAATTATTAAAAATTAAGTACATGTTTGAAAATGTTTTTTACTAAATTAGAATTCTCATTATATGGCAAACTAGACCAGAAGAACAAAGCAATCCAAGATTAAAATGTGTCTCAACTTTTGGTTTGAATTAAAAGGTACGTTCTTGTCATTAATTATTACCCTCCCTCTTTCTAGCTCACTTCAAAATCCAGAATTTAATATTATAATTAAAATGACATAGAATGCCTTTGATTTTATTTTTCACCACTGCCCATTAATATTTTCTTCTAGCATACTCTTCTGCCCCTTTTTCATGAACTGGAAATGAATTGCATTAAACTGAAACAGGAAAAATGTACAGAAACGAAAGAGTTGGAATATTAGAGAGTATGTATATCTTCCATCATTACTCGATCATATCATGCAATGTGTTTTTGCCACCTTCACCCATAAGAATCTAAGGTATCTATTCTTTTCATGTTCCTTTTCCTCCCAATTCTAGACATCTTTTTACTTTTTGCTGGGTTTTCTGGTAGTTTTCCCTTCCAATTGTTTATGATCATTCCCTATATATCATATGGGTTTAGTGAGGGGGCAAATTGAAAATCTTTGCCAGATTTTATGGTTTTTTGCATCATGGTTTATTTTGACTTCAACAAGGGAATGATAATATGGTTTAACCTTTTTATAAGATGGATTAAGAGTTTAGAATTTATCAACCCACATAATCTACCTTTCGTAACCTACATTTAAATCAAGCAGATTGAATTCACAAGGTTAAATGTTATTTAAAAAAAATCTTAAAATATTTTTTTTTTCTATATGTCTTAAATCTTTACATATATAAAATTGAAAATTAATAAAATCATCTTTAATATCAATTAAATTAGAA